TATATATATATATATACTTACGATTTCGCGTTAAGCTCCGCAAAACTTATTTAAATATTAGTACAATATATTTTCGTCTAAATTAACGTTACTTTTTTTTAATACATATTTCTTTCTCCTCACGCCATATATTTTTTCTCACTTCTAAAAGGACTTTGACTTCTCTCGATTGAAAACCAGTCAGGATGTCATTTGAGATCTTCGACTCGACAAACGCTTGTAAACTTTTAAATAATACTACATACGCTGTACCAGTTCTTTGCAAACGTTTTTCGACATTATTCTAATTTCTGAGCATGTAAAAACTTTGCGGAACAATGAAAAATTAATTGTGTATTCGTTGAAAATTTTTTTTTTTTTTTTTGGCAATGTTAGAAAAAATGTACCTACAAATCGTTAAATCGTGCGAAGCAGCATATCTAATGACAATTTACGACACCAATAAATCTCCATTTTATCCCATCAGCCTACATCGCGAAAGAGAATCTCAAGCTTTCTTCAATTTAGTGTGCTTGTCTTGCGCAGGAATTTCGGTGTGGCGCGTCGAATGAAATTAAGGAATGTCTTCTTTTTTTTTCGCACTCCCGCATATTTGCGTCGCGTCAGCGTGATTTCCTAGAGCGCGTAAATACGTTCCGGATCCCGTGGACTCCGCTCCTCGTATTGACGTATGTACAAAATCCGGATAGATGGACAAAGTGGGGGCACTCAGAGACGCGTGGTCGCCACTGGATGTGCGAGGCAACATAAAACGAAGCGGCAAACGAGATAGAGACTCAGTATACACGAGACGATCGATCGCAGCACGATCCTGTGACGAGAACGAGATTGAGCTTGTTTGATTGATTGTTTATCGTGACGGCGGCAATTGCACCTGTGACTGCACGTGTGATCGCACCTGCTGGCGTGAAGCGAGTGTCGCGTTGAGAACAGACGGAAAGCGGAAAAGGAGAACAAGCATAATGATGATCAGCGGGATTTCCATCATGAAGATTGCTACCTGCATTCTACTTGGATGCTGCGTGATGATGCGAGTCACCGGCTCAGCGATACCGATGTGGGAATTTCTTTCGAGAGATGAGAAAGTGAGTACAGATCATCCTTCTGTCGATTCTGTTAATTACATGCTAATACTATTAGTTTGGCGTAAGGGATTTATCGGTTTTTTTTTTAAATTCTGCCTTAAGTGAAGTTTCTGAACATTTTAAAGCATTGCTTTAAATAAAGCATTTTAAAGCATTGCTTTAAGTCTAATTTTGTTAAAGTTATCTGATTTTTTAAATTTTTTTAATGAAGCTGTATATCTGATTTTTTTTTTTAATATTTGAGACTTTCAAAGTAAAAGTTCGAAAAACTTTTCAAGCAAGAAAATTTTATTAGAATGCATTGACTATTTTAACTGATGAACGTTGCTTTGAAATTGTTCAATTGTTTCTATCTTTATTTGACAAATATGAAAAATAATTTACGATTTATATGAATTTAATACATATAATTTGTGTAATAAGTAAAAGTATATTTGTATAAAATAAGTGAACACAAACTGTTTCACGAATTTATTGATTATTTACGGTGATAGATTCTGTGAATGCAGAAATATAAAAAAAATAGATAGATATGTGAAAATATGAAAGATACAAGAAACATTTATAGTTATATAGTGAATAAAAAAAGACTTTTACGCATTTCTATTTCCTTTGGAATAAAATTTTACACAAAAAAGAAAGATATTACTTAGCGTTGTTCCTGTCAGAGTACATTGCGTTCTCATTTGTATTAGTATGGCGAAGAAGACACTCTTAACGTCTCTCTTCTTTGCAAATTATTTAAAAAAAGATAAGCACAAAAATATTTATTTTTATCGCCATAATTTCCGTCCATCTAAGTTTTTTATGTTCAAAATTGTAGCCGCTAAACTTCTTTCACTTATAGTTTCCCATGAAACCGCGAATGAGAGATGTTGCAAATATCTCTTCGTAATATCAACTATTCAGTGGACTTTCACCGAACAATCGAGTGTATCCAATGCAAGTGAATCTGAATTGCATCTGAATCACATGGGCGTATTCGGTTGCTGCGATTGCAGTAATAAATTTGTATTGTACTTGCACGAATTTCTCAATGATGTATCAATAAACTAGGATATTTATTTATAAATTTAACATGAATTCGATAAATATTTTAGA